CTTCCCTGAGACTCCTTCGGGTTTTTCATGCAAGTGAAACACAATGCCGCGTGCGAAGAAGCCACCAAAGCACCAACCTGTGAGCTAATGAGAGGCCCCATGCTGTTATCTAAGGCTCCGGCTTCTCTACCACTGCTGCACTTCTATTAGGGGAGAGAACACACACAGGGCTACCGTTCACATATGTTGAGCGCGTACGTTCTCTAAAGGAGGTTTTCCCCGGGAATGCAAAGGCTCGTAGAAGCCGCCGACGTTCATACAGTACCCCTCGTGCACGCGTACGCACTCACACAAAACACACAGCAGTCAGAAGTGGAGGATTCGATGGCACCAAAGACCACAATAAAACAAAGGCACAAATGACACCCTCCTGTGACAGTCCCAAATGTACCTACTTGCTTTTGTCTGATAATAAATCAAATGCATTAAAAAAAAAGAGCACTTACTTAATTGAACAACCTCTACCGATTTGTTTGTGTTAAAGGAGAGTTGAAGATGCTAGATAACAATTGGTGTGTGTGTGTTCTCCCTTTGTGCCGGGTGTGTGTCTGTGTTAAACCCCTGCCAAGCGAGATGCATTATTTAAGATGCTGTTGTGATACTTGTGCCTGCTTAAAGGTCTCAGCTTCCTTTTAACGCCATGCCGCATCAGTCCACCTCTGCCCCCACTTGTGGGGGGAACCAGAGTGGGACCTGCTGGCACGGGTCCACACATCACCTGGGAAAATATCACAGCAGGGGGAGGAAAGGAATGGATATAGATAACCTTTGAGTTTAGCACACATTCTTGAGAACATAGAGATGTTTTATTACCCCACTTTATTGTCATGTCATTGCTGACTTTAGACTTCTGTATTTTTCATTTTTTATAAGATATTAAAAGATATTAAACTCAGAAGAAAGAAGCTGTTTAATTGTGTATTTGTGTGCAATTTATGGTCACCTGACAGTAATTTTTACAATGGTGGCTGTTGATTGAGCAGCGCTGATGGTTTGGCAAATAAAAGGTTAAATGCCGGTTTCAGACAAGCAACTATGGAGCTGGACATAAGTGTTGTTAGGTCTAAATTTGGAAATGCCCTGCCACTCTCCTACTGGTGAAAAAAGCCTGTAATGGAACGCAGTATTGTAAATTGAATATGGTTAATTACTCTTCATGCTATGCCACCAGCCGTGTGTGCATGGCGAAAAGGAAAAAGCCTGGGAAAGTGGAGGAAAAAGCATCTTCAGTGGAACTTCAGGGCCCCTCATTACACTCTGCCCCTGGGTATTTTTACGCCTTTTATTTCTCATCTAATGAACTGTTTACATTTTTCAGCTTTCCAGGCGCCACAATAATTTGCACTTGTCCTTGTATCACTCGTTGCACTGGGCAAAAAGCAAGGAGGAGAGTTGGAGGGCATTGAAATGTGTATATAAATCTCAGTTCATTTGATTTAAATTATTTGTATTTTTTGGTAAAAAGGGAACTTTTTCTTTTACATTACAAAAAGCGTTTTTGTCGACTCCTTGAAATTAGGAGTGGTCATTGTTTAGCAATTATTGACACAATTTCTGTAAACAGATGTTTTTATGATTTACTTTCTTCTTTCTGTGCTATGGAGGAACTTAAAAATCATCATGTTAATTCAGACAGCATATACACATGCATGCCCATATACTAGAAAGAAATTGCACACAAAGGAAATATCCATATATTTGCTATAATTAAATAAATATAATTTGCTGCTCAGAGGATTATGCCGGACTGATTAGCATATCTGATATGAATTGTTATTCATGCATATGTAATTACATTTTGATGGGTAAAGAAGAATAGTTTTTTTTTCCTTCTGCTATCCATGTCAACAGAGGTAAAACGTGTGTTTTTGACAGGACAGCAGCACCTCCATCGCTGCATTTTGACGGGATGTGTGGAGTTTTAAAGGCAGGCCACTTTGCATAAAGTTAAGATGTACCTTTGTACTTCTCTTGTGTGCTTCCGGGAATAGAAGCAAATTCTCACCCAAGATTAAAAAAGTGACAAAAGACAGACCTTTCAAACAGATTAAAAAAAGCTCCTTTTTTCTTTTCTGAGCAATAAGGTATCTTCTGAAAGCGCTCATTCTTTTTTAGATTACAAAGCCTGATTAGTTGGTTTCGTCTTAAGATGCGGAGCTCAGTCTTTACATACTGTAACTGGAATGAGAGAGTTTCAATGCATTTTCTTTATAGAATAGAAGATTTTAGAGGAGCAGGTATGTGATATCTGCTTTCCTGACCTCAAGAGTGACCTCCTGATGTCACTTAGCAATTTTTGCTTAACACCCTTAACTTAAAATCAAAATCTGCTACTGTATTAAGCAGCTAATATTGCACAGCTGTTTATGTTTTACATCAAATGGGACGGCAGTAATCACTCAGGATTCTGTTGTTTTCCAGAGGGGGAATCCAAAAACTGGAGTGTATACTGTAGGTACAGGGGGAAGTAGCGGCAACACTTTCATTTCAATGACATTTTCCATTCTTTATACTTTCTTTGTTATCTACACTGTTCTCATTGCAGAAACGCTTCATACATTCATCTGTAACAGACAGCTATTTAGAAATACCAAAAAACCCCTGCATATGGTTTGAAGGCGACGTAAGCCTTAACATTCAAATCAATGCTTCTCCCAGGCTTCCTCGTCTCAATTACTGGTGAAGTCGTCTTTCCCCCTAAGTTGCACTGCAGCTCTTTAAGATGAAACTCGACTTAAATGGAATATGTGGGTGTTTTCCTGGCAACAAATATGTGTGTGTCTGCCTTGTGTACAAGTGTACATGCTGTTTTGAAATTGATGCTTATTGTCTTTCTGGTTTTACTCAAATCTGAAATTCCTTTTTAATGTCCTGACAGCAGCACAGTGACCACCTATGTGCCCCTGCACTGAAGAAGAAAAAGGGAAAAAAAGTCCTTTTAGACAATGGAATTTAAATTTAAAAGTCAGCGTAAACATTAATTAATTTATTAGATTATCCAATTTTAGAGACACAAATATAAATACTTTAATTATTTTTTGATACACATAAAAGCGTTTCTGAATTTGAACAAAGGATGCTTTCAGAAAAAAGAAGTAATTATTATATTGTATATCTATGTTTATGTAACTGATATTTGCCATAGAGCACCATATTTATTATAAATTTTAATCATTTATTTAGTTTTTTTTCTAGATATTTTGAAATTCGCTGTCACATAATTGAATTGTTTATCACCAGAAAAGTTAAAAGTTAATAATTGAGTGTTGTATGGCACAAGCACAAAACAATTGCAAAAACATCTTGAGCAGCACATTTTGACATAATGCTCCTGTGTGTGGAAGGGGGGGGGTATTTTATTTGAGTCAGTGTTGCCGATCTTCTCTTTTCCCCACAGTGGGCGTTCTGTGGTTAGCTTAGGTCCCCGCGGTTGAGTATTGTTTGGGTGCGCTCTTTATCTAATGGGTTTTGTGGTCTGGGTCAATCAGGCCCTCCGTCTAGTCAGTAATTACTCCAGAGAACTGTGGCCCTCACCATCACGATAATAACAACCAAATCACATCAGCCATGACTTTCCACTCAGTGCTCCAGATTATGAGGAGAGACAAAAAAAAAAAAAACCAACAAAAAAAAAAATCAACTGGCTCGACTGTGATTGGTTCCAAAGTTATTTCAATCAGGGAACTTGATATCATCACTCTTGAGGTTAGAATTGGCTTTTTCAAGTTTGATTTGTGCTTTTCTTATGGAGGGTGGCATCAAAGTTCTTTGTGCAATAGCTTCTTCAAACTTTTACTGATAATAGAAAGATACTGGGAAAGGATACTGTATTTGAGGAAAAAAAATAAATGTCCCCACCAGGTAATTGGTGTTCCTCCACTGATTCTCTTACTTTGTTTTATTTATTTAGAGTCGAGAACTAAGTAAATATAGAAAATAGAAAGAATTCGTGTTGAGAAAATGTGATATTTTCATTCCTATGCTGGTGTGTGTCTTTGATTTTGCCCACCTCCTGCAGCCCACCTAGAAACCCTGTCAAGGCAGGGAGAGAAAGCGAAGGAGGCTTAGTAAACACTTTCTGTGTCTGCTGCTGGTGTGTATTTAGTTTAGAGGGCATGCCAAGAGGCTGTTTTTCCATGGGTCGGGCGTCTGTAAACAAGCGGTACAACGGCAGCCCACTTTTCGACAATCGGAGGTGGCACACTCTGAAGTGTGCATGAAATGTGTGTCTGAGTGTTTGTCTTTTTGGGCTTTTTTTTTTTTTTTTTTGGACATGGCATTCCCTCTTATTCTAGCCTATCTGGAGACAGAGAGAGAGAGATAGGGTTTGTGTGTGTGTGTGTGTGTGTGTGTGCTGTGTGTCTGTGTGTGTGAGAGAAAGAGAGAGAGGCAACCCCAAATCCGATGGGCCGCCAATGGGTGATGAATTATTCCCTGTCTGAGTCTCAGCATTGGTGTTATCACAGAGCCTGCCACTGCACTGGGATGACAGCGGTGACAGCCCCCAGAAAAGATTTAGCGCTGACAAGTGATACTTCCTCATAATACATCTCCCTGGCCTTCTCCCCTGTCCCCCTGTTCCACAGCCTCTCCATGCACACAAGATGAGTTTTTTTATCCCTCAACTTATATTTGTTTAAGTGGGCAAGGTGGGGGGGCTCTTTGCCACCACTTCTGTGGCACAAGTGCACTAGGTACAGTAGATCACCTTGGAAGGGAGTCATGGGCACAAACCTAGACATACTTGTTTTCAATACATGTGTTGTAGGGGTACACACACACAGAGAGAGAGACACATTCGCACACATACGCACAGCCTGCGTGTGACTTGTCACCGAGTTCCATTAGGGGGCTCTCGTGCTTAAGGAATGCCTGTTGTGTTTTTGCATCAACAACAGTACTAAGCCATATTTCCCCACTTGTTTTCTCTTTTTGCTCTCCTCTGTTTCTCCCTTCTCTTCTTCTTTTTGTCCTTCTTCCTCATCCTCCTCCCCCTGCAGAAAAGGTCACGTATTGCCTACAGTGATGAGGTGCGCAACGAGCTCCTGGGGGATGACGCCAGCTCCTCGGAGAACCAGGTGAGGTGCTAATCAGGGGCCCAAACGACACCAGTGTGGGTGGCTGACTGGCCCCCAGGGTGAGGAGGTGGGCCCCTCATAGGGGCCATCGAGAGCTGAACCCACAGTATTGTCACCAAGTCATGCAGAAGGAACACTGTTTAATGCAAAGCTGGGCTGCCAGTGAGTGGGCTCAGGGCATGGGACCAGTGTCTGGCTAAAGCCAGATTGTGACTGACGAACACACACACACGCACACCTAAACACAAACACAGAAATTTCAATCCAAAAACCCGGCCTCCCCACTCCAACCGTCCCACAGCTGTTCTCCAGCCGGGTATGGACTTAGGCCAATAATAGATCCTCCGTCCTCCATCAAGTTCCACACACATATACAGACACACATGCACACTCAGAATTGCTAAATCTTGTTCTCTGGTCTTTCTTTAAACTCCAAGGGTGGCAAACCTGCACAATTCAATTCAAAATTAATAAGAATTCAGGTTCTCATACTGTTGGCGAGTGATATTAAAAAAAAATTAAAAAAAATATCAGTGAAATATTTTGGTGCAGTACTCCACAGAAATGATCCTTTAGCCCCTAAATGTTTTTATTCATTATCTAATATCAGCCTTTAATCAAAAATCTCAAATTCTATTTGACTTCTTAATCGTTTTGATCTATTATCTATCAACATATTCACAATTGTTTTATTGTTTATTAAAAGACGATGACTGACATTTTGTTTGAATATCAGTTCAGCCTGTTGAATTTGAAGGATATAAACAAAAGATAAAGACCACATTAACAATTTTCATTCATTGTCAGCAATGTCTACAAACGATTCATTCACAGCCGTTATGAGAGTGGCAATGAAGAAGAAAAACAATTATCTTGAATTGTGATCTTAATTGGCCAAAATATGCCACATGTAATTTTAAACTTAAGCTGTTTTTGAATAAACTGTTTTGAATAATGCAGAACTGCATCAAAACAGTGACACATCAACGGATTCAGCAGCGTTTTAACATTTAAGACGCACTTACCTATTGCTCACCTGCACAGCTGCCACTCATACGCAGCCACTCTCAACTATGACCAAACGTCTTTTGACTAATTATATATTGCCTTTAGAATCGGCTGTCAACTTGGAGGGGTTACTGTGTCTCAAGGCGCACAATCACAAACACACGCATGCAAATAAATACTTTGCATCTGCAAACGTGCACACTCAAAAAGGAAAAAAGAAAAATATGAATACTCAAATGCATATTTGCACATTTAGTCCCACAGTGCTTTATGTGAGTATATTTAGAGGATTCACAGGGAAGCAAAGCTAAATAAAGTTCTCTGTTTTTTTTTTTTTGAACATTTCCCTATTACCATTTCAATGATGACCCATGAACTCCACATCTTAGAAACATATGTATCACGAGCCACGATGTGTAATTGAAATGCATATTCCTGGCAAATTAGTGAGACACAAAAGTGACTCTGACATTTTATGCACAAGTTGGAAGGAGATTTGCTGTCAGAAATGTCACGTTTGAGACAGTGATGAGTTCTATCAGAATCCTGTGAAGGAAAAGCTGAAAAACCATATCACATTTCATTTCAAATCTTATTTCCCTTTCATTAAAAATTCATCTAAAAATATTTAAAAGTAATATTTACAAATCTAGAATTTACACATCTAAAAGGAAATTGTTGGAAAATAGAATATATAAGTATAGAATTAATGCTCTAATATATTTACATTCTACGTTGTTTTATTGTTGTAATTATTGTTTACAATTAATGGTTATCCTTGACAAGAATTATCAATTTTATTTTATAGTGTTTTATATCAAATAATTTTATTGCTAAATGAAAAACACTAAAATGTTGTGCTACTTGAATCCATGCATGCACACATGTCAGGAAAAATAGAGGTAGGAGAATGTGACATCTGTGAACACAGCTTCATTCTTAATTCTCAGTTCACATCAACATAATAAAGTAAATCATGAAATAAGGATTAATAAAATAAAAAGTTATGTTTATATGTACAAAATATATTTATCTTATAACATATTTATCTTTGGAAATTAAGGCCGAACATGATACACTTAAAAAAAAAAGAATCTAAGCTACAGTAAGTGACATTTTCATTTTTTTTATACCACTCTTCATTCTATTCTCCCATTTTTTTCTTTTGATTACCAGGAATCCTTAATATGTTTAAAACACACTCTATACATTATTAAATTGTGGAAAAATTCAAAAGTAATAATTAGCAATAATAATGTGTGATGTGAAACTTTGAAAATTGTAATTATACAATATATCTGAAACACACAGAAAACCTTAGAAAGAGTTCATGCTGGGGGCAAAAGCAAAGAAAATGGATGATATACATTTTCCCTTTTTCTCCCAGGTGCCACATTTACCTCATTTTCATTTTAAAACTTGTGGAGATAATACTTGTCTTGGTCTTGCTGTGAGTGGAGTACTCGGAACTTCAGGGTTTTTTATCTAACGAGACGGTGGTGATAGGAGAGGGGAAAAGATGGTGGGGGCCGGGGCAAGTCGGTCAATTTAATTCCTGACGATCTGAAAGAGGTCAGGATCATTTCATATAGCCCTGGCTGAGCAGATCATTACCAGTCACAAATCTGTTGGTTACATGGCAAGGATTTATAGCTAAGTAAATAGGGAACCGTCATAAGTTCTGAAAATGGCGTGTTGGCCCTGCGATAATGGCTAAAGGACGATTTAATAGAGTTCGGCATTTATTCGTTATCTGTATGCGGACAGAGACTGAATTGGCACTATCGCTCGTTTTTTTAATAATGTGGTAGGCTACTATTGCACATTTTTTCTTTCTGTTTCCTCTGCATGCAACACACGCACAAATGTTGGTGCTCACACACACACACAGACGCCACACACAAAGCAGCAAATGCACACACATTTTTCACACACGAACACTATACGGAATAGTTTCGATTTCAGTCACAGCAGAAGGCTTGGCCACAAGAGATTGTGCTGGTTTGAGCCGGCATGGACCAGATTTTACAGGCTACAAAGGAAGCAGATTACCACTTGTATCGAATTCCGTATTGGATAAAAAAAAATCTTTTGTTTGAAAAAAAAAATTGCTGATTATCATAACAGAAAAATTGCAGCAGTGCAATTTTGAATACTGGCTGGCATCACAAAAACACTAGGAAAGGCGCTCATGCAGGAGTAATTATAACATTTACCATATTCTGTATTTACTGCTCTGTATCTCTTGAGCAACGCGAGCATCGTTGGCTGTACTAAAGAATGGATGCCAAAGAAAAATAAAGCTAAACAGGAAGAAACAAGGAACACAGCTCAACATGCCCCCTCGTATAGTTTTAACAAATCCTCCACGAGGACTTGCAATCAGTCATGCAGCACAAATGAGCTAGAACAAGTTTTGTTTGGTACCCATTGACTGATGGCAGAGCTGGGGTGAGGGATCGCAGGATCTGCTGGGTTTTTTCAAGCCCCAAATAACCACATCCACAGTGTAGTTTTAAACTTTGGCCCCTTCAATAATGCATTCTTAGTGGGGAGTTGCTGCTTAAGTTAGAAAAGACAGTTTCCATTCTTAAGTGCGTCTTGTTACTGCCGACATTTTCAAGGAAGAGAAAGCTCTTTAGAAAAACATGCAATTATACTTGTTTACCTCCCACATTACAGATATTGACAATATTTTTACATTTCTAATATTGTAGTGAAGCATTGTAGTTATATTTTATGATTGGTGGAGGAAAAAAAAAACAAGTGAAGCAGGAACTATTTTTGAGATGCTTCTAAAATTACAGGGGGGAATGCTGTGACAAATGCAATATTGTAATGTGTGAAGTACCTGATACTTCTGTTTGTGTTTTATACAGAATAGATTCCACCTGCATGTATTATTATATGACAAAATTCTTTGAGTGTGTTTACTGGTGGTACAATATAAATAGACAAATGAATGCAGTACAGTGTTGTTTTTTTGTTTTAGGATTTCAGTTTAAAAGGTTGATAGAAGGAGCTCATGCGTCATTTCCTCCTCTGTGTCACTTGTTTTGAATCATTTAAAAACAAAACTGACCCTCTCGCAGCTGTATTTTTTTTTTTTTACTTTAAAGTTAGCAATCAAGTTTGTAATTCACAATCTAAGAACTCTGTGCTTTATGCAATACAAAATGATTCCAGACTCAAAATTCAAAATAAACAGCACTAGCCCAGAGCCTCCCTTTAGATCTGCTAACCTTTAATGTTGGACAAGAAATGTGGATTTAAAAAATAAATCACCTCTAAAAGGCTTGCGAATCAAGAAATTTGTCGTTCCCCTTGTTGCATTCCCACGATAAGCCCCAGCCTCCTCTTTCCTTCTCTACAGCCTTCACTTAAGAACAGGCAAGGGAAGCAACCTTTTTAATTGTGATTAGGCATAATTAATGGCAAATGGGATTGTTTCCCTCCCTCAAATGTCTGATTCATAATCAGAGATGCAGGGTTTTCCAGGATAGGGAATAGGAATAGCATTTCTTATTTACTTCACTTTAAATTTGCTATTCTCTTTCATCAAAAATGTATAGCTACGCTGAGATTCATTTTTCATGATCTGTGGCTGTCCCAATAATAAGCAGCATTGAATGTATGTACAGTGGTAGCCTCACATGAGCTTTCCACACATAATCTACCTTTGCTGAGATGCATATAAGCTACATGAAATATTGACAGCATATCAGCATTGATAAACAGTGGTACAAATGGAGTGGCTCAGCATTTCTCCAGCTTGGTTCCAAAGGGCACAGATTTCTTTTTATCCTTTTCCAGAGAATTCAGCAAAATGACAGATACAAAATATTTTCCCACAACATTTAAATCTGTAACTGTGCAGACTATATTTTACTCATTTTCTTTTTACTCTTTTCTCTTGCTATATCAGCTTTTGTGATGTGCCTTCCTTGATAATGTTAGTTGATATTGCAAGTCGAGCGATCCATTCCCTCCCTTTGTTTAATGTGACAGCGCCAGGACTTGATCTTTGTTTGTTCAAAAAAGTCAGCCCGAGCGGCGTGTTTAGCTTCGTTTAATGTGTTTGTCTTGTGATTTCGAAATGCTAAACAAGCTAACGGATAAATCGTCAAGGTTAATTCTGTACCCAGCCACATGACTGATCTTCTTCCTGCCATGTTTTTCTTTTTTAATCTCTCCTTTACTCTCTCCATCTTTCTCTTTTCCCTCTTTTGCTCTCATGATGCAGTTGATAAAGTTACGCGAAGAGGTAAGTGCTTCTCTGCTCTAGCAATTTAAATTATGCTTTTCCACTGAAATTTCAATTTGCCCCTTGTCTCTCCTGTAGACAATTAAAATCTGCTCATCTTTTTAAAAATGTCTGATTGAACAGTTTACAGGCCAAGCCAAAGATAATGAATTCACTGAAGGCCGGTTTCTCCGGTTTCCCCTACCTTAAATATCAGAAAGTGAAGATAAGCTATTATTTCTGATCCGCCTTTTTGAAGACAAATATTGCCGAATTAAGTAGCTTCGGTTATTGGGCCCCAACACAATTCAGAACTTGTTCAACTTCTTAGTTTCAAGAGCGAACTGCTGCTTGTAAGATTTACGACCTCTTAATTTTCTTGAATGGGGCCAAATGAGTTGCTTTCTGCCTTTTGTACTGAATCGGATTGAGGTTATCGTACGATATGTGTTTAAGACTATACATGATGACAGACTGTATAGTAGTTGCTGTTTTATCATTCACCACTGCATTAACATCACCACCATTTCCAAAGACTACTGAACTCAATTCATGACATTTGAATGTATTTAGTTGTCCATACTCCATCATGTATGCATTATGCAATTTAATGAAAGTGTTATTGTTGGCTCTCTGTGAAAATGTACATCAGTTCGAACTAACAAAAATGTGAAGAAACATGTCGATATCGACGTCTATGTGAAAGACTTGAAACTCTCAGGTACCGTACATTGATGGCTTGTAGATCACGTTTATTTATGAACATGTGACATCTAAAATCTTAGTTTGGTTTAGCAGATAAAGTTAGCAACAATACATAACCAGCAGAAATCATAGGTAGCGTGTTGCTTACCAGATTAGCTTACCAAAATGGGAAAGCTATTGTAAGGTTTTGCAAATTAATTATGACCATGACTCATTAGTTATAAGTAAAAACCTAAGCTAATTGGCATTGGTGATTATTTTACTATTCATATAACGTTTCATAAAAGTTTCCTGTGTCCAGTCCCATCAGCAACAGTTGGCATTGGCCTCCTCACTACTGTTCTTTCTCTTTGAGGTGGTAAACAAAAAGTATTGATGTTGGAAAAAAATCGTGGTTCCCTGAATTATTTATTAGCTGTAACTCTAATACAGATGCTCTAATTGAGCTGCTCCACTCATAATTAAAGACAAATTAACTCAGTAAATTCAATTCATCTTTCAGTTAAAAAAAAGAAACAAATTGTAGCAAATATAAAATGGGACTGCCGTGACAACCCATCCACTCATCACGTTTCCTTTAAGACTGAAACTTCTACTCTAGACATCATTTAGATGTAACAAAGCATGATAATTCAAATCAGCAGTCTGAAAATGCCTGAGGTGGTTTATTAAGTCAGATAGATAGATAGATAGATAGATAGTGGTATTAGCACTTAAACTGTTACATACAGTATATGCAGCCTTTTAGATTTTAAACTTCAACATTTGTTCTTAGAACAGCCAGCAGTAATACTAATATTAGCTGCCATTATACTTGCTAAGTAAATGTCAAATACACACTAATTATAATGTTAACAATTAACACTCGGTAACATCATATACGTCATATTTCATTCTGTAATTGAATATAATACTTATAATTAAAACATAATTTAGAGACAGTGTCTTTACCTCTAATTGAGGCAGATTTTGTTCTGTAGGTTACATTATATCGCTTGTCCTTTGAAGCATGACTGAGCTTGGATTTGCAGGTGTACTTACAGTATGTTGTTAAATGTGCCTTTGAATGGTGCTGTGTTCAAGAGGGCTTCTGCTGAAACAGAGTAATTCAGTTCCTATCAAAGCCTCACCATTCACACTTATCCATAATTTAGAGCGCCATCCTGGCCCAGATGCCATGTTATCACGCTTTTTCTTTTATTTAGCTGTACTTTTGTTTCCCCTTCTTCTTTCCACCTTTTTTTTTTTTACATTTCCTTCTAGCCTGAGGTTCAGAAGACACCTTGAGTTACCTCACCTGTCTACCCCTTTTGGAATGGCCCGATCTGTGTAATCGGGCTTGATTCTGAGCCCTCTTCGCCATTGCACTTCTCTATTGCAGTCTTTTACCCTTCTGCTCTTCCTGCATTTGAATCAAAGGCTGGTACAGCTTATACACACTTAAGCCTTGCTTTTAAAAAACTATACTTTTTTTTTCTTCAGCTGAAAAACATGTTTAAATATTTAGCACCCATATTCACAGCTGTTTGACACTTGTAATTCCTCGTCTTACAAGTCCCAAACAAACGGCACAGAAGATCACACAGTCAGTCTGAATCACAGCTGTCATCATTATTCACTTTGACTCTCCCCCACCCTTATTGAAATAATAAGGAAATCATCTGAACTTTGGAAAATGGTGATAGTAACCGCCTGTGTTTGATATTGAAAAAAGGCAGGAGAGCGAAAGAAGAGGGGAGAGATTTCTTTTGAGCTACAGCTGCATTGTTCTGGGGCTCCCTGTTAATAACTTACAACTGAAGAGTGTTTCTTGACGCAAAAAAGCACAACAAAAAAACACCATTTTCATGGTTCCTAAGAAGATCTTTGTTCAAAATGTAGGTGTCAGATGAAAAGGCATACATACATAGGCAGAAATGGTGGTGGCGGGTGGAGGGGGGAATGCACCAGTGCACTCAAAGATGCACAATATTTATCATATATTGTATTTAAATCTTCTGCTAGAACACTCCATGAGACAATCAGATGTGATTTTGGTGAGATCCATAGTTTTTCTTAAGTAGATTAATAGCATATGTGAATTGCAAGCCAGTATTTGAGCTTGAACAGGTGTTAGGGTATGAGTGTCTTTGCCTTATTCTGAAGGTTTCACAATGGTTATATCAACAGGGGTCAAGCCTTGATATGGGATGTTGTAGCACAGTAGGGGCTGGCAGCCACTTTGCATTTTCTTCGACAAAATGCTGACATATATGCCTTGAATTTTTGCTGAACACTTCGATGCATTCACATTTTTGTGGTTGTTGTGTGACATTTGAATATCGGAACAAAATTGCTTTTGTGGGAAGTAAGAGTCCCCTCATTGTAGATTAAGATTGTAGACATAATCAGCCTATCAGCCTCGACTGTGACTACATACTGTAGGATGTTTAGTTTTAATTGTACATGTTCCTTTTCATTATTTTCCATGGTATCATCCTGTGTCCATGGCTGGATTGTTTCATTATTAGGGCCATCACAGTGTGCCATTACTGGATTCTTAGTGGCTGAACTCTCACCCTTTCCTTCAGGTTCTGTCACCGTCAAACTCGGGGCGCATTATTCTAATGATCACACACACACATATACACCGCCACTGCCACCACTACCCCCCAGCACCCCCCTCCACCCCCCACCTCACGCACCCACCCACCCACACTCACCCTCCCCTCCCCTCCCCCCGGCACTAAAAGAAGACAGAATGAGGGAGAGAAGAGAGAGAGAGAGGGAGAGTGAGGGAGAGAAATTCAGGAGGAGAAAGCTTTGAAGTGGCTTTCCATCGCAGTGAGTCTGCCGGCCGTCTCCCCGAGACGTGTCACCTTTGCCGAGAGGGAATAGGAAAATCACGTTTCGAATGGTAATGATAACATACTAATCACTTGAGCTCTTTGAAGAACCCAGGGAGTGCGCTACTCTGTCAGTATCCCGGCTGCCTCATGCTCCCAGGCACACACAGGCACTGCAGCCATGGTCTAGGTGTATTAGCTTAAGCATTGCATGTCAATACGTCCCCTCTGATCCATAGGGGCTCATTATAGCCCAAGCTTGGTATCCATTTTCTCCCACGTGCACACTGCCACCATGTCTGCCGGTGCCACTACCACTTCCACACCCATGTAACCCCTCCCCGAAATCCCCTACCACACCCTTCACCAAAAACACACCACACCTTGCATCCCATCCCACTCACTGTTTCTTCGTCGCTCTCCTCCTACCAGAAGCCCATATTACCACACACACACACACACACACACACACACACACACACACACACACCCACCCGTTCTTCTATCCCTCCATCCTCCCCCTGCCCTCCCTTTAACTATTAAAAAGTATCTCTGCAATTTTAAATGACATCTGTCAGCGGCGCAAAGAAAAAGGAAGCGAGGGAAAGAAAAGAGTTCAGAGGGAGTTTTCTCCTCCCTGCTCTTTTCCCATCCCTCTTATTGTCAAACTTTGAAAAGTGTGTCGTTGACTTTTTTTTTCCTCCACGTTTTTCATTTCCTCTGAGTGATTAGCTGGTACACATTTTGACAGCCTTACCAAAACTAGAGATTTCACTTCTCCCCCTGTCCCTTTCGCTCATATGATGGGCATAAACCCTTGTCAGAGAGGCGGTTGTCATTCGTCGGGTTGTTTTTGAGTGTCAAATATGTTACATCTGATCAGTTTCTTAACATAGCATATTAGAAAGGCCATCAAAACCAACAACATTCGAGTAAACATGCAAGTCTTCCATGTTTATGCTGTTTATGATCCTCTCTACTGAACCCAGTTTAAATTTAATGAAAGCTAGGTCTTAGTTTGGACATGCACATATGCACATTTGAAGTTTGTATGTTAGATAGGTGGTTGAAACTTGCAACTGAACACACAGATTGACAAAAGGACATGATTGAGATTAAACTGTGCCTCGGCATAATGAGACGGACTGCTTGATGGTATTGACATCCTTTTTTAAAAGGAAATGTTGTATAGACAATATGGGCAAAACTTGATTAATTTTAACCAAAATAACAGTTTGGTCAATATTTAAAATCAGCTTGAAGTAAGCACAGTGATAAAATGAAAGGGCATAAAATCAAACAACTTCAAAATAACGGTTAATTTACAGGAATTATTTGATTGATCAAACAGTTGCTTTCATGACTAACCCCCCTGTGATATAGTACGGTCTTATCACAGAGACATAGTTTATTAGATCTTGGAAATAAGAACATAGTTAGGTCAGAAACACAGAACCAAACCTAATGCAGACCAATGATGCAGGTATTTAAACACCCAAAAAAAAATCAAATTTAAACGATTGTCCAAAACATTGATAATGAAGTGGAAGGAAACCTCCATGGGAAAACTAATGGTTAAAACATCCATTATCTAATATCGACACTCTTTGACAGTTTAAGCACAACTAAAGTGAGTGAGATCAGTGATAGTTCGTGAACCTCATGTGTACAATGATCGCAACCCTGTAATGTTGAAAATGAATAATTAAATTTGGTATTCCAAGCAAGAGATTTTCTTCTTTCTTAAAGAATAGTTTTCAGTTCTCAGTGACAAATTTACTACCTGTCGCTGTTAGTTGGTAAGTAAAATGCTAAAATCACTCACAACATGTGTACAAAACTCACTAAAATAATACATATTCCACTTGATTCAGGATAATAAAGCACACATTACATTGAACAATACTAAACATTTCCAGGTAAAGATCAACACGTATTGTCTGTGTAAGCTTTTGTTTAAATGCAGCATTGGTTCATTGTTATTATTTTTTTGTTTTAAGAAAGTGTTTTAAAAGCAAATAAATTGCCCGTTACCATAGAACTTCTTGTTTACTAGTATAAGTATATCTCTTAAGACACGGTGCAGTAATTGGATACGTGAACAAATAAAACCATAATGGTAGATTCCTACATTTGAGAGCCCCTAAGATGGAATTCAAGGCCGTCAGTCAACAGATCAGATATTTTCTTGCCTTGCTTGTCAGACATGAATTGTTTAGCTATATAGAAGAAACCAAAACCACTGATTTTCTTGGTATCTAAGGAACAGCTATCAGTTGATATGTGTACACATGATATTCGAGCCCTAGCTAACACCTTGATACTCAAAAACATCCACTTTGAAAAAATGATCAAATTGCTTATTTCATTATTTATGAAACACATCTTTTCTTGATATGCTCTGTGAACTCCATGCTTTCAATGGGCAGCCTTGTCGATTGTTGATAGCTGTGAGTAAACCAAGGGGGGGACGCAGTAACTCATGCATCATGAATACTGTTTTGGTCCACTAATGTGGATAAACAAGAAGCAGAAAAGAAACGTGAGGCTTTTTTATGACATTTATTAAATTTCACACCTCTATAATAATTCCTTAAATCATTATATATACTGTACATTTATGACACTGAGTGATTTGAGAAGACTTAGATATATTATGATTGAATAAATGTTGCACTTTATTTGTTACATTATCTACAATTGAGGAAGTAAATGTTGATTTAATCTTACATTTCTCCTCCAGTTGGAAGCCATCACCTGGACAGGATTGTCTTTTAACTGGAAAGCTTCAAATAACATTTTTATTTTATTTCAATTTGCTCCACCTCCCATGCCTTAACTTTTCTCTGTGTGCAGCAGAAGGCTTGTGCTGTGAAACAATACAAGGAGGCAACAAACCTCAAAGTAGTTCTTGTTTTCATGTCCAAGATGAGGCGGCAGCACCTCTTACATTGTCAGCCTCAACATGCATATGCTTGATATTCCATCAGCATATAACACATTGTCATCCATGAAGGTTATTGCCAACCTGGCTGTATTATGTTGTCGCTGTGGATGTGGTCTGTCTGTTTAGGTGACAGTGTTGATGTGTTTCTTTGAAATGGGTCCCAGCCCTCTCAATCAATTTTTTTTTTGTGTGTGTGTTTGTTTCTCTGGCTTTATTTTTTATTTTTTCTCCATTTTTCACAGAGAGCGCATCTGTTGGACAACACAGAGAAGCTGGAAAGGTCATCACGGAGACTGGAAGCCGGCTACCAGATAGCAGTAGAAACTGGTACGTATTCTGTTTTGGATTGGGTTAGGAAGGAGTGGGGTGGTGTTGGGCGGGGGGGTTCAAGATAGTGGTGAGGATGAGTGAGCGACAGCAAATTGTCTTGCTCATATGCGAGGTGGGAGGATATGTGTGTTTGGGGGGGTGGAGGGGGGTGGGTCGAAAAAACCTCTTTCCTTGACGCCTGATGACATTTTCGGGAGCACATCAAAGGCAAGCCAGGGAGGGAGAGAGAGAGAGAGAGGTGTACAGGCGACAGATCGGGCGCCGCTTCTCCTTGCTCTGCTCCCGAAGAAAATTCGTGCACCACTGTGGCTGTGTGTTTGTGTGTGTGTGTTATGTATGCGTGTATGTTGGGTGGGTGGTGGTTGGTGTTTTTTTTTTTTTTTTTTATCACAAACAGACAGGGGGTCTATGAAAATAAACAACGTCAGCGTTCCTCCTGAAGTTCTTAATTCAGGAGTGCAGAAGGAAGAAACAAAAAAACATAATATCACTTTCTAAATAAACCATCCAAAAAAAAACACACACACAAACTCCTTTTTTTCCTCATTATCAAGGATGGTTTTTATCTTAAAATAGGAAAAAAGCTCATTGGGATCTTAAATAGATTTAACCAGTTAGCATATTTTTTTTCTTCCTGTCTTCCTTCCTGACAGTCACCACATTATTGAGGCAGAGTGTATTCCTCAGAGATGTATCAAAGCTCATTCTTGAAGTATCAACCAGCTTTCTGTGGCTTCCGTTGTAGTTTTGAAAAAGTTTGTCAATTTACACTATAATCGCGGGGTGGCTGGCGTGTGCGACATCGACAGATTTAATAATTCAAGTCAAGGAAGGTTCGCACACAGACCACCAGCTTTTGATGTTCTCTGTATCTTGCATTCACAAATTCATAAATACAATCTACATTCTCTGCTTAAAAATGTTGATTCAAATGCCTCAGATGATCCTGCCGTTATCCGAGTTTCTAGACTGTGTCAAATTCTGCGACAGCCGACAGGTTTTTTTTTTTTAATTCTACCGAGTCGCATCATTCACTAGAGTGGCTCGTTTTTTGATGTTTTCCCTCACAGCTTGGTTGGTGTTAAAGAAGTGGGCCGTGGCTTAACAGTGTTCAGTACCTACTGGGCCCGGCGGTTTCTCCCGGCGTAGTCGGCCACATGCCCCTTGACCCTGTGTCACTGTTGGCCGTCTCATCCACTGAGTGTGCGGCTAGCTAAGAACAATGCTCGTTTATCCTGTCTTGGTCCCACACACTTGGCTTGGTCCACACCAGCTGGGGCTGTGTTTGTGGTTTGGTGGGGAAGCTTCGCCCTGCGTCTTTAATCCATGACCCCTTCCTTTACTCTGCTGTCGATACCAGCCCTCCGCTCAGATGCACAACCTGAAATGGCAATGTCCCCGGGTCAAACAGGGAATACATCTGCACAAAGAACATAGATACACAGGGAATATGCACTCCTTCACCACCCTAATTACTATATATACCAGGCTTTCAAATTCAACAAACACACTGGGCACAAACATTAGGTAGCCATATTTATCCACTGGTTTATAAGGTTTGACAGCGTTCGCCATTTGATCCCAAATTCAGTTTGGTCTTTAATTTAGTGTTGTTCACCCATCTCAAACTATATATTTACTCTTGTGGTTCCACAATGGCTCGTCACAACACTTCCCAGACAGCTTCATGAAATCCTGCACTATTTAGATCATAGTCCTGCCATAGTTGTTAGAGTATTGAGACACAGTACGCAATGGACTGGGATTTATCTTTTTGCAAACTGTTTATTTTTATAGTCCAACACAAGCTCAGTTTATTGTACAACAATACAAAATAATGACATAAAACTGCAAGAAGTGCACCATGCTTTATTCATGCACATTATGAAAATGGCATTGGCAATTGTTGAAGAATAAGCTTTGAGTTGTACCACACAGAGGTGTGGCACCCATAGACGTTAAACAAGAATAATTAGAGCATTAAGTGTTTCTCCAATCAGAGGCTTTCTAGTCAGACTGTAAATACCTTCTTGCCACAAACCTCAACTCTCCTCAGACATCTAAGCTGTACTTTTCATGAAGAGCAGTTTAGCGACGTTATTTTGCAGTAATTCAAAGTTGCATTCTCCATCCACAATGACACAGTAGCCTTTAAGAACTGTAATTGACCAATAGGGGAAGTGGAACTAAAAGACATTTTATTTCAAAGAGGTAGATCCTGAACAAAGAAATGGCGTAGAAACCCAGCTTTGCCCCCTTTTCTCTTCAGCGTCGACAATATATCTCTTAATGACCAGGAACAAAAAAGCCAGGATGCTTCTAGGTCACATTTAAGGGAAGAAGAGGACTCTTAGTTCTAAGAAAAGATGAATCTTCACACAGCACCATTTTATCAGATTTTAGCTTTTTTTCCCCACCATTCTCAATGTCTCCAGTGTATTTAGCAAAAACAAAGGCTTGCCAAAAGCAGTGAGAGCCCTCAGAGGGATATAGAGGAGACTCTTTGGACATGCAGAGCTATTTACCACACGCACCCTCAAGAACCAGGGTCCTCTGTTTGTCTCATAAATAAAGTATAGAACTTCATTAGTGAAGAGCACTGACTTAAAAGCAGGCATAGCAACAAGGAGACATGGGGGCTAGCCCAGTTAAAGAGGGCCCTAAATAAAGAGGGAGGGCATGCAGTTAGCCAATTTAAAGACATTTGAGTCAGGGGCATTTGAAATGCCCAAATGTGGAGGCTTGACTGATGTTAAATCAAAGACATGCCAGAGTTTAGTCCTTCCCTCCACAGTTGAAAAGATTTTGAATGATTTATGATTGCTTGTTTAGAAATAAATAGCATGTCAGATAAGACATCTAAGTTGCAATGATTAGCTATTCCACCTTTTTGATTATTATTCATTGAGGGGGAGAGAGTTGAGTCTTACATGCTGATCAACAGTTCATACAAGACATGGCTAAAAATGTTCCATCAAACTCCTGCTGAATTTTCCAGTTATGGTAATAAAAAAAACAGTTTTGTTTACTGGCATCACTCTAATAATCGAATAGCTTTAAATGAATTTTGCTTTGTTGTGTCAACATAGAACAGTCTTTGCTGATGGTGCTGTAAATGTACAATCGCTGAAGAACATGAATAGTTATTGTAAACTTCAGGGTAAACTTTAAACATTAATTATGGACTCGTCATAGCAACAGTTTTGTGTGCTTGAAGCTTCTGTAGCTGGCTTGCAGGGACACGACTCATGCAGGTTTAATGCAATTGAAAATTTTTAGATTTAATTTTAGCATGAAATGAAACAACTTTTAATTTGTACAATTATGAATGAGTGAATGCATCTCTGAGGCGATATTTAAAAATTGTACGACTCAATAAGTCAACCAGCAAATGTGAAGTGAATTTACTTTGAAAATTCATCCCCCTTTATACTTGTTCAGTTGACACAAATAACTTAGCAATGCCAGCAAAATGAGCTTCTGAAACAAAGACGGAGACAGACAAAAGCGTTGCTACTCTGCATTTTAAAGGTGGCCGGCAAGAGGCTGAGAACACTTCTTAGGCGAGTGTTCTTGGTGTTTAGGGGCCTGTAATCAATCCTGCGAAATGAAAACAGCTCATTAGGGATTGATTTCAGTCCCGTTTAGATAAGCAGAGAGGGACGGGACCGGCCCCCAGGGGCCCCAGCCTAGCCCAAAGTTCACACCATGCCAGGTAGAGAGCAGCACCACAGGCTATCAACTTTATTAGGATGGAGATAAGCTGATTAGACCTTGTCAATCAAAGGTGCCAGTGACTCAATCATGATCCAAGGGACTTTTCTTTCTGTCTCTCCCGTTTTCTCTCTCTTCCCACTCTCACAATATCCCTCTCTTTTTTGTGATAAATCATTGAAGCGACCAACAAAGTGGCAGCCATCGCTGGGCTAAGCTAAGCAGCCCTGCAGTTGTCACCAAGGCAGACGCGTGGGGACCCTGTGATGATGTGACGACTATATTAAAGAGTACATCAATTTGTTTTAGAGCAGTTTGATTTTCAACTGCAGTGGTATTAAAAGAGAGGGGGGAAAAAAGAGGGGAGGGCGCGTGTGTCAGCGTCATCGAACATGATTCCAGTGGCAGAGCAAGGGGTGCTGGGACAGTGAGAAATAAATAGATAAATGACAGAGTGACGAGAAATAAATAAATATGTTTTTGTAAACATAAAAAAAATCTTCATGGCTCCCTTTTGAAGCGGAGTGTGGCTTTGAGTCTTGCTGAGAGTCCATGGGCGCTGGAGTGGCCCAGTAACACAGCACACGTTTGTCCCGACTCTCTATCTCTCCCCCTCCATCTTCGTCTCTTTCTCTGTTTCTCTCCCACTCGCTTTATTTCTCCCTGTTCCCTCTAAAGATCAGACTCGATGATTCTTTTGGTGCTGGGCCACCAAAGTGGAACTCGCTCCTCAAATCCGTAAGCAAACACTTAGCAAATGACATAATCAGCTGCATTTATGAAGCCCAAGTGATATTTTTAAGCAGAAGCTATTATTAGCTCTTGACAAATTGTTGTTTCATTTTTATAATATTTACAATATTTGCTTAATGCAGAGGAATATAAAATCATTAGTTTTTACAATTTTAATAAAACATATCCCTACTTATTAAAGTCCTACAAATTGAAAAAGTTAAAAAATAAATGTTTTCATTGGAATAGACATTTTTGGAAATTGTTCCAGAAGTAGTAAATATAGTTGTCATAACTCATTAATTTTTTTAAGCAAAGCAATGTTTCATTGTTTTTGTTTATTCTCAAGCTTTTTAACAGATCAATTTTAAATTTAGTTTATATTATTAATTTTAGGTAGTGTGTCACCTGGTAATACAACACAATTTGATACTTGCTGTTATTAAGATTATTTTCAGTCATTACATGAATGATTTGTAGAATTATATACAGTATATATGCAATCTAAATCTTTTTCTTATTAACAATTGAATGTTGAATCTTTTCCCACT